TGTCAAGGGGAAAGTTTACGGCTTTAATCATCTCATTACACGTCCAGTAAGTACATCTAGCATATTTACTTTTCTCATTTGAGAAAAAGGCTTTATATGAGTTGCAGCAAATAAATTTAAAAAAATTCAGATTTATCAAACGACCATTTAATTAGAAAACTTCTGTTTGATAAGATTGTGTGGAAGTGTAGTATAAGTAGTGGAAAAGTCAAAACTGTCAACCGAATCAAACGGACAACCAAAAACAGGTAATTTATCCAAATCATCCAAAGAATTTTTTACACTCCAAAAATGGTTAATTCCACTATTTTCATATGTTTTATTACAAAAATTAATGATCTTTGAAAGTAGATAAGGAACTCGTTAAAAGCACCGAAAGATATGTAGTAGAACTCTTACTAGAGGACGAGATGAAACGATTTTACGGGTTTTCTGTGTAGATTAGGTAACCAATACATAGTGGGGACTTTCAAATGTTCAGAGGAGGCCGTAAGCTGAGCTGTGGTAGTGACATGATTTGACTCACTGTGGAGCGTACGGCTTGAATGTAGTTGAATGAATAATTTCACTTTTAAGGACTTCCGTGTAGTATTTACGTCATACCACCACCACATTGTTGGCTGCTTTGTCGGCCGGTACTAACACAAAACGCTAAAGTATATTACTTAAACATAATAATAAAAATGTATAGTTCAATTAAACAGGAGTCTCTACAATATGTCCGGTTCTTATTCTGTTCTAGTGTAAAAAGAAAATTGTCAATAAAAATTTTCAATAGATCTAAAGAAAACTGCGATCTGCTTTCTGTTATCAACATCAAATTCTCACATTTTGCATTAGACAACCGGGCGCAAGACATTTGGGCTAAATCATAAGCGTGAGCATGGTATAACTGTGGAGCCAAGTTTACATTTGGGCTTATTACTTTTTTAAACTTTACAGGTAAATACGAAATAGATAAGATATTAGACTAAAAGAAATACAACCTACATAAAACTCTGGTCATTTGGAAACCATGCTAGTTCAAAAAGAAAAGATCAGCCAGTATCACAATATCACAAGATTACAGTTTTTCCGATCAGGTTCCCAACAAGGAACAGACACGTGAGTATGTGGAAGGATTAAACTGGGTTTGTTAGAACTCGGACCCCCTTTTATTCTCGATCATGAGACTTACAAAATATTTAGAACATATAATAACAACCAGGAAAGGAAAAACACACAAATCGTCCTGATAATGCATGAAATATTTTCCACTGGACGTTTATCAATTAATCAATCAATCACATCTCTGAAATATTGTCAAAGGTTCAATAGATTGCAAATAACCCCACAAAACAAACAAATTGGTAACAAGCAATATTATACCTTTTCTACGAATGCTCGCAGTTTTTGATAACAAGCTCAGACAGCATGAAAGTGTACCCAAATATAAAACGATTTCATAAACTTTAGAGGCAGATATGCTCGGGTTCTATGCTAAGAATTAACTGAACAGAATTTTGGCGCAGAAAAACACAGTTTATCTCTTTCCTATTCGGGAAATTCAGACATTTCCTACCCGAAATGACCAATGAAAGAAAGAATGTCACGTTACTTGGGATAAATAAGAACTTATTCTACAATTTGATGTAAAAAAGTGGTTTAGAGACCAATAGAATATATTATTTAAATGCAAAATGAAAAAAATATCTTTTATATGTTGGAAACGTTGGTGCAAGACTGGTATATAGAGGGAAAACACAAACTATATGCCATGATATTTTTTTGTTCTCCTTACATTAAGAAAAACCTGAAGTTTAAAACTTGCAGTAATTCAAACATTAAACACACTTATAATTTAAAAAAAAACTATCATGCAACAAAACGATTCTTTAATAAGCTGAATAATTTGGTATTGTGTCGCAACCGGGATTACAAGGAGATTTCATAAATATCTGTGAGATCGCTCATGTACGTTTCTGTTACCATAAGGTGTTGCTTTCAGAATTGGCGCAATTAATTACCCGCCATTTCAAATATGTGTACATTGTCTTCTAAATATCAGACCAAATATAAAGTTGATAATACCAATACACAATTTCTACAAACAGAAAAGTGACAAAACAGACAATTTTCGTGTGATTCTGTCTTTAATGAAAATATCGCATTGTAAATATCTACATGTACCGATTTCCAAAATCTGTGAAAGGGGCTTTATAAATCGAAAACGAGGTCGGTGACCCCTTTTTCTATTTTAAAGCTTTTACTTAGGCTTAAGGGAAAACAACTTTTAGAGAAGATGTCTTTGATAGATCTGATTAGAGGGATTTGTCTTTAATTCACATTTATTCCTAGTAAAAATATTATACACAACTGCAAAAACATTTGATAATGACAAAAACATCATGAGAATGCATATTCTACGAAATCAAAAAATCAATGAATAAAATACAGGGACCGTATGCATAAAGCTACTTAAGTTAGGATTTATTCCGAACGGACGGATTTTTCTACATGTCCTACGATAAATCAGTATAACGATTGGATATCTTAACTTAAGTGGTTTTATGCATACGGGCCCTGAATAACATAGAATAACATGATACTGGAGTGATTGGAAAAACAAGCGTTAGTTATATGTTTTAAATCATTGCGTTAAAAGAGAGAAGGAAACCAAATTTATATGTTTTGCTAAGGTGCAAGTCAGACATCAGCCAATAGAACTATTATCTTTGTAATTCTAAAAGCAAAAAATATCTTTCTTCATTGTTGAAATTTAACTCGAAAAAAATACGGGGTGTCCATAGTTTCAGGTGGGATAAGGTTTGATATTTATCCGATGCAAACCAGCATTTCTAAATCTGCACATGTTTTTTCAATCGTGTGTGTGAATATTTAATTTTCTATAACCACAACTTAAATATGGGTTGATGTATTAAGTTAGTTTTCATTTTTTTACCTGAATATATTTATATTTCGATAAATGTTCACGTCTGTGTCAGGCGATACTATTATACTATTCTACAGTATTAGAAGCAGAAATATAATTTTGTTGGTGATATACAATCTATATTTGAGTACCACATAATTATCATTTCGGAAAATCAGATACCTGACTAACATTAAATAACGAACATATAAGTTTTTTTAGACCTTTTTCAATCTTCTGGCAATTAAGCTGCAGGGACCATTGATGATGGCGTAACAAACTTTTTATACTTCATTTTTCTCCACCAAAAGAGAAAAAAAGTAATGAAAAAAAATATATATTCTGAAAACACAATGCCCCGCTGTTAAGTGAATACTGGAAATCCGGGTCAAAGACTTAATTTGACATATTTATCATTTTAAAAAGTTCACATCATAATGAGCACTTACAATTTTCATGACATTTTTTTTTATCTTTTGCAGAATATTATTAAAGACATGTACATGTAAGCATCTTGCACTTTGAGTTTCATTACGCTTGTAAGCTATGAATCAAATATTTTATATCCGTATGTCAAAATTATAATTTTTACCACGATCCTGCGAAAGACACGATACAGTACGTAAATGTTAGGAATGCATAAAAACGCTGTTATGTCCGGTCAAAATGGGGACGTTAAATCGGATGTCCCATGTCTAGAGTGACTGCCACACTAAAACAACATTTCCTCTCTAAATGATCAAAAAGGTGGCATTTTCCAAGACAACACGTCTGCCTTTATCTAACATTGCAGTTGCAGTCCAAATTTTTCGCCTTTAAAGTCGACAAACCTTGCGTTACCTACCTTTCGTATTTATTGTCATTTTCTCTCGTCCTTAACATGCATAACACGTTGCCACTTGACGTCAAGCTAGCAACAATGAACCAATCAATCAATTCTCCAATATTCAATTAACAGACATATTTGTTTTTACGGTAGCAAATGTTATGTCTTTTTTCCCATTTTTCTTTTATACAGAAGACAACAATTTACACTTATAAGGATTTTTGAGAATAAACATCGTTAAACATGGACAACATTAAATGACGAAGTTATTAAGCTGAAAGTTTACAAAACAAGTACATTCTTAAATTACACATGAGTCGTAACACATTCTTCTGAAAAGATGTTATCCTTGAGGACTGGCATCCCTTCAGCAAAGGATTTTGAAATAACTTTTTTTAGACAGATCTTGCCTTCTGCTTCCATCTTGGATTGTAAAATAGCAGAAAACAATCGGGCTAGATATTTAATGGAACCTGAAAATTTTGAGAGAAGAATGCAATTCATTTACAAGACTTAATGAATAAAATGTTGTGTTAACCTTATCGTCGCTGTGCACGACTGTTTTTACAAATACAAATAATATTTTGTTAGATTGATTGTTTTTTTTTCTCAACTCAGTCATATTTGGGGAAATGACTCAGATAATGTTACTTTCTTAAAGGAATGTACAATAAATTTACCTATTTGGTTTGTGGCAAGAAATGATTCCCTTGACCCCAGTTTTTCTTTTTCTTTTTCTTTTTCTGAAACCACACTATTAGACCAATCTATTAATTCGTTTCTATTTACAGAAAATTGGGCTTTCCATGTGTAATCTACACAAAGTCTGACAATTTTTTACAACCTATAGTTTTAAAAAAGAACCCTAACGTGATCCATAATTTTTATCACTTTAAAAAAAAGCATGATATAAACTTCATTTTGGCTAAGTTTTAGAACTTGTTTTAATTTAGACACCCTACTCCCCCCCCCCCCCCCCCCCCCCCATCTACCTTGAGGTAAGTTCGCGAATAATATTGAAGCCATAATGAATGCACTAGGAAGTTAAGGACATAAACAGAACAGCCACAATTGTGTAAGGTAATCTTTGCCTACTTGAGTTCGAACCTTAGTTTGAAAAATACACATTTCTTAGCAGATATGACCCTAGGGTTATGTTTGATACCTAGTGACCAATTTTTCAGAGCTATCTATAACTCTATTTCTAGATATAGGAATTATTCATATTGCTATTAGTACCTTATATTAACCACGAAATTATATATAGTAAAACATGTTTATTTAAGTAATATTACAGTTTATAAGTTACAAATAAGCAAATAAATAAATAAACAATAACATTTCATAATGTTAGCAATTGACATAATTTCATTTTGTGTCATCAGTTGAATCGACCTAATGTTTGATCTTCGCATGATCTGCTGCAGCCGTTTTGAACACACGTGCTATGGCGTGGACATTGGGAATTACGGAAACACTCATTTAAGCAATGTACTCCTGTTTGCCTTGTTTCCAAAATGTTTGATATTTCTGAAGGAATATTGTCATGGATGTGTTCTCTTCGACTATTTCCGTGTACATTAAGGTTATCATTACGAATCACTGGAGACTGACTGAGGGTCATAAAATTCTCCCTTGAAATGCATACTTGTCTGCATCCTCTGCGCGTGCAGAAAGAATTTCGGTTACAATCGCTATCACGCGTGCATATGTCTATGCACGAATCAGAATTAGACGGAGCTCTGTTTCTTTGTTCATTCAAAATACGACCATCACCTCGGCAAACCTTACTGCAACCGTCTAGTATACAGTTTTGACCTAATGAACAGTCCGAATTTCTATCGCACTCAATATTACAATTATTGTTTCCAGTAATGCGACTTGTTTGTACATTTTGCGATGGTTGAGAAATTCGGCAAATGTTTTTGCAACCTGTTTTGACACAAATATTCCCAAATTCGCAGTCTCCGTCGCTTAAACATTCATTTACACAAATTAGCGATGTAGTTGTAGTTGTTATAACACATTCTTTTTTACATCCATTTTTAAGACACGCCATTGCAAATGAACAATCAGAATCACTGTTACACTGATTTTGACAAAGTTTTAAGCTGGAATCCGTATTGATAATTTTGAACTGTTTAGCAGTTCTTGCGCTCGAGTCGTCTTGCCTGCAATATTTGCGACATCCTAACTGTCTACAAACGAATCCAAAATTGCAGTCTGCATCTGAATTACATTCATCCTGGCAGTTATTATGGGGTCTAACGTTCTTAGGTTGATGGATATTAGTATGCTTTGAAAGTTGTCCGTCTTTATCGGGTTCGCATAAACGATTACAGCTACGTCGCCTACAGTACAATCCCCGACTGCAATCACTATCATACGTACAGTCAATACGACAATCATTAGATAGTGACACAGACTTTGGCTTTTCCTGAATACCAAGTGACAAGGAAGTACTCAACCAAGGTTGTTCCCTGAATGCTGATGAAGTACTCCTTGATGCGTCAGAGTTAGTCCAAGGATTAGTTCTTTGATGTCCACAGAATGTATTACATCCCTGTTGATAACATTTTGATCCCCTAAGGCAGTCTGCATCTCTGAAACACGAGCGAATACAGCGACTTTTGGTTTCTTTTGTCGATACTGATTGACTTGCATGTTGATGTTCTCTATTTTTTGTATTGTTTAGAACTAGTGCAGTTTTACTACTACAAACTTTGCGGCAGCCATCTTGAATGCAAGTGTGTTTGAATGGGCAATGAATATTACTCAGACATCTATCGTTACAGTCTTCAGTTGCAGACTTAGTATTTGAAACTTGAATTGTTTTGGTAGTGCTTATCTTTTCACAAATATTCCTACATCCTTTTGAAACACATTCGAAACCTTTTTCACAGTGAATATTTCTTAGACATTGATCTGTACAGTTTCTTACTCTTCTTAAAATTGATTTTACAACAGGTTTCTTAGGCACTGACTTTGCCTTCCTACTGCTGAATGACTTACAAACTCTTTTACAGCCTTGTCTTACGCAGAGTGACATTGATGCACATTGACTACTTGTGTCGCATTCGTTTTTACAATCTGTAGATTCAGTAGATGTCGGCTTACTCGCAGATTTATTTGACGATGTTGTTTCAAATATGGGTGACGTACATATCGATCCACATGACAACAATTGACAACATTTATTGTCTCCAGGACATTCACTGTCTTTATTACATTCAATAACACATAGCTCACTAGTTGGTGTTGCAGATTCAGGACATACTCCAGGCTTGTTAACATCTGGAGATTGACATTCGACAACGCAACCTGAAACTACATCAAATGGAATAAAAAAAAGCAAATCCCTGTGTTAGAACAGAAACTTATAATTTTTATCAAAGTGTTATTATATATAAGTCTTTGTATACCTTAAAAAACACATCTGAAAAAATTGTTATTAACAAATGTAGCGATTGTTTTGCAAAAACATGGAATATATTAAGTAAAAAAACTCAAAGAAATGATAAAGTTTTCTAAAACCTTGTAACGTCCCCTTATGGAAAAGGGGGAAAGAAAATGTAAAAGAATGCAAAATAAATTTGATACATTCAACTGGAATATCAGATATAACACATAGGGTGGCATCGAGGGCAGAGTAGTTTAAGGAGTTCAACTACTCTATCATTAGCCTGTCAGCACCGATGTTGTGAGTTCGAACCCCGCACGTGACAGATGCGTTCGAATCCAATGTTAATTGACCAGGATTGTCAATTTTCCTACCGAAGATCGTTGGTTCTCTCTGGGTACTCCAGCGTCTCCACCAATTAAAACTGACCGCCATGAAATAGACAGTAGTGCTAAAAGTTGCGTTAAACACGAATCAATATAACGCATACTAGTATTAAAATGTCACAATAAAGGGTCTTTAATCGAACTTCAAAATAATGGTGTCGAATTCATGGCAAAAAAAAGTAACACTTTATAAGTTTATATTTGAATTTAATTGCTGTTCTGGATTCACCTTCACAAAGAAGATCAAAGAACGTTCATACCAAAACATTTGAAATCTAGGAATGTATAAATACATAGAAATGTTAGGAGCTATTTGGGACCTTAAAGAATATCCAAATTCGTAAAGTATGTAATTCATTGTTTTATACGAATTCATGGACAAGTAGTTATCCAGTATCATCTTGAGCAGTTGATATTCTTTTACCAAAAAATATTTTCTGAAATCATCTACAATGTTAGAAATAGAAATCGAAATCGTACTTCTTTAATTGACCAATTTATACAAATTCAAAGTGTCACGAACAAGATCAATGATTAGGGGGCAGTCAGTACAATTATTCCAATATTAAATGTAAATATATCCCCGGGCATTCCATGTAATTTATGATCATTTTAGTCTAGGTTTATTAACTTCAGCACACAGACACTCACAACATATTTGATAATTCTGTCATTATATACCTACAAATAAGCAATGCACATTTGAACTACATAACCGCAAATAGGTTTCTTAGTCTTAATATATTTGGAAAGAGAGAAAATATTGATCTTTCTACTCACAGAAATTAACGAAGCATTGGGTAATAAGTCAACGAGAAAAAGAACTCAACGACATATAAAAGATCAAAAGAAATATAGAGGTCAACATACAGTCCTCAACAGTAGACAAGTGTCTATGCAATATGTTAAGCTCGTGTCTTTTGTCTTTTTGGATTGCAGCTTCATTGACGTATAGAGGACATCTCTTGTTATTTCATCATATAATGAAGATAATCCCAAAATTATACAATTCTTTGAAAAGTCATCATAAGTATGAATATGAGATGGGGTATACGTCAATGAGACTGCAATCGTAACAAGATAAAAAAAAAGCAACAAAGACATCTAAATATCAACATATGGTATGACATTTATTGAACACTTAGAACTAAACAAAAACGTTTATCTATATCTCCGGAGAGATGTGATAAATTGTTATACAATAACAGACTCGGATCCTGAATATTTTAATGATAACGAGGCCTGTTACCTCCCAGAGTATAGCGAAACATTTTATTGCGAAGTGGACACAATCCTTTGCGAAGTGGACACAAAACTTTTCATAGGGGACATATATCGTTACGCAGTGGACATTTGTGAATATTTCTAAAACGGTTTGTAATATTTTCTAGTACTTAAACTTGCAAATAAAAAAATTGAACCATATAAAATCATTTATTTGTCAGATTCTTGAAGAAAATTCCTTTAAATTCTAATTTTTAGCATGGTAGAGCCTTAAAAAGTCGTTGCGAAGGGGACATCTTGGTACACTGCCATGTTAACTTTTTGTTGTCAAACTTATCGTTCAGTTTAAGGTTGCATATTTTGTATATAATTTATAATAACTTTTGTCTCAACATTTTTTTTTCATTTTCCAGTTGTCAAAAATGTACATTTTTCGGAAAGGCCCATATATGCCAAATTTTAAAAGGGAAATTGTTGATCTGGTAGTTTTAGTGCTTTTAATCATCTCTCTCACCATCACTTCCGCTTGATATAAGGATTTTGTACTTTGTTTACATAACTAAATCTAGTGTCTAGAAAATGATAATAATAAATTAAATAATGACGGCAACATAATAAAATGATGTGAATAATCATTCAAAGTCGATGTGTACATATGTATGAAAGTTTGAGTTTTAAGAATAAAAAAAAACAAAACATGACAACGATATGTCGTTGTTTTAACATCAGGTAATCATCTTTTTAAGAGATACATTTAAAATATTAGAATTAATAAAAACTGAATGTTTCAGTCAATAAATTGTTAATTACCTAGTATCTGTAAAACAAGAAATAACAGTCGCCAATATTCCATCAAAAGCCGCCACATTGTGCTTGGAATCCTTTGAAGAAAACATGACAATATCATTTTAAAACAACGTATATGTTAAGGTAACACGTGTCATTATAAACAAAAAAAAATTTGACTATACAAGAAAATAACTGTGGTTTTTCTATACATTTATCGTTTTGTCATCTGCTTGATATTCAAAAAAAGCGTGCCCACAACAACAAGTCTACGAAATTTACTAAATGTCTAGGACCTTAAAATATCATGTGCATAACATGTTCATTTCCGGAAGTCAGAAATTTATTTTAAACAAGAATGTGTCCATAGTACACGGATGCCCCACTCGCACTATCATTTTCTATGTTCAGTGGACCGTGAAATTGGGCATTAAAATTAAAAAGATCATATCATAGGGAACATGTGTACTAAGTTTCAAGTTGATTGGACTTCAACTTCATTAAAAACTAGCTTGACCAAAAACTTAAACCTGAAGCGGGACAGACGGACGTACGGACGAACGAACGGACGCACAGACCGGAAAACATAATGCCCATAGGTGGGGCATAAAAATCATTATCTAAACATTATGAATAGAAACGAATCGAATAATACCGAATGTTTCTTTTTTAGTAATACTTATTTTTGGATTGAAAAACAAATAGTCTTCCGTTTTCAAGGGAGGCGAGTTTTTCTTTACCCTAGAGAAATCTTGGATCCACGCTATCTAAGATGTACAAAATACATCTACAGCTATTTGTTGTCAATAGATATAAGAAGATGTGGTATGAGTGCCAATGACACAACTCTCCATCCAAGTCAAAATTTATAAAAGTAAATCATTATAGGTCAAAGTACGGTCTTCAACATGGAGCCTTGGCTCACACCGAACAGCAAGCTATAAAGGGCCCCAAAAATTACAAGTGTAAAACCATTCAAACGGGAAAACCAACGGTCTAATCTATATAAAAAACGAGAAACGAGAAACACTTGACTTAGGACATGTGCAAACAATTGCAGCGGGTTTAAACGTTTTAATCGTACCAAACCTTCACCCTAATCCGAAACAATAGTTTAACATCACAACATAGAAAGACACATTATTCTATCTTCCTTAACTTTTATCATTAACACAAAAAGTATAGGGCTGCAATTGCGAATAGGTCATCGTTATCAATTAAAAATTTTCACTAATTGCCTAATCAGAACAAAGGGTCTCGAGTGCGAAGCAATACAATATCTTTTTCTCACAACCATTGCAGATACAGAGAGGATGCATAATATTTACAGGAATATGCATATATTTACAAACATTTATATGCAATACAGTGGTTTCAAAACAATATACATTTTACCCAGGAGGACCCACGTGTTTGTTCACCAACTTTATGAACTTACATAATCTTTTAGCTCTGACTTTTTGTTTAATTGGACCATCAGTGTTTTTGTTTGAAGTTTGGTATATTTACACGAGCCAAAAAGTAATTATCGAAGTTTATATAATTTCCTACTGTCGAAAAAATGGACATTCTAGCAGATAATTAAATTCGTTTCCAATGTTACCAAGATGACATTGATGACATTTCTATCCGTTCTATCAACGTTATTCTACCCCCTTATCGGGTGTATGTGTTTATTGATTCTATATTTACATAAAATAATACTTTCATGCAGATCCAAGATCTCAAAATATTATTTAAAATTTAATATTATTTTATGCTCCATTTTCCAAAGCACAAGTAATTAAGTGTAACATTACTAATTCGGGCCCGGTCAGAAAGTAGTACATATCAAAAACAAAATAGTTTCTACGCATACTTGTAACGTTTAAAATAGAATATTTTGGTAATTTCAATATCAAATGAAAGCTGAATAACTGGTGATCATTGTAGAATACTTTTTGACTTTCAAATTTGAAAAATTAAAAAAAAAGTATGAAATATTAAAGCAATGTGGGTACATTCTGCTCGTTTCTCAGATCTGAAGTACAATGAATCAGTACTCTCTTATATGCAATTAAAGTTGTGTTGATTTTTTTTTTCAGTACAAGACACCACCAGGTGTTGTTTGACATGCACTGACTGTCACTTTATTTGAACTTAAGATAACAGAGCTGGGACTGCTTGAAATTGAGGAATTCAACATAGAAAGCAGTGGTGCGATGAATTAGTGATGTTCCTCCGTTACTGTCGGTTTTGATTGGAGTATTGTATCAATTTCATATTTTTGTCTTTGCTGTGCGCATATCTTTGATTGTTTTATTTGTTTTTATGTCTGTTTGTTTGTTTGTTTGTCTGTTTGTTTTTTATTTACTTTTTATTCATTTATGCACCTCTCTTGATGCTTCTTTGATCTTTTTCGTAGAATGTCTTTTTGACTTCGATTTACTTATTCCTGCCTTTAACATATTATTTGTCTCTTTTAATCATTTAAATGTTATGCTTTTCTTTATATTTTTCCTGATTAATTTTTCTTTGCAATTACCAGAAAATTATATAATTAAATTAATTTATTAAACTGGCTGTGAACTGGCCGTAAATTTGAAAGAAATAAAGATAAATACAATAAGCTTACCTTTTGCATAACCATATTATTTAAAACCTTGTAACCTATAAGAAGTCTTAACATATCTGTTTTCACTGTTCATCCGGGCATTTGACGTATATTGTTTATCAATCATTATGATAGTATACATGTTAAATCTTCAAATAGAGTCGGTTTTATAGATGAATATATTGGTTTGTTACTGTCTTATTTTATGGATGACCAATAAATAATGGTTCATTGGAAAAATGTTGTTTACATGATGTATTTATACATGTGTGAAATTTATTACTAGTATTAATTGGCAGCATCTACTACAATAATTGACCTTCGTTTTTTAAAGTCCCATTAAGGCATAACATATATGCATATGTTCAAACAGAGAAATATGTCTCTGGTTCAAATTGTTGACCTGGTGTCTTATCCGACACGATAGGATATTTAGAAACAATAAAGATTTGTCAATGTTAAATAGTAATATGGAACCACCAGTGCATATTAAGGTGAGCTGGGCTACGTCAGACGTCAGAACATACTTTTTTCAGAAGCAACGAAAGACTGATGATTTATTTTCTCCATTTTAATTGTTTACCTAATTTACCTAACGAACTATCATTTGATTTTCTGAAGAGGTTGAAGATGGAATATTTATTTTAACTGTAGCTATACAGTCTTATTTTAATATTTAGCGCGACAAAGTCGCCTGAAAGTTTTTTCCGATTTTTTATAGAGTTTTTTCCTTCTTTTTGTGATACAGAATATTCATTTTCATCATGTCTCGGGCAATATTGTGTTTTTTCAGTTCTTACTAAGTCATTATACTTCTTTCAAAATCCTCCTGCACTCCTTCCCCACCCATCCTGGTGAGAATCAAATTTCCTTCCCCTTATTGTTAACAATTACAGTATTGTTGATGTTTTTATATAATTATATTTCCTCAACATCAGAAATTAATTTTTCATTAATCTTCACGTTTTTTTTATATTAAGGTTTAATTTTCTTATATTATCACAAAACCCGTTAACAATTGAAAATATAAACATATGAAGTGTTTGTTACGATTACTAGAATAAATACCACTGTGACAATAGACAGTTTTACATATAAATGATTAATATGTTATGTCTACATTTCATAATTTGTTTTTGAGTAGGAGGAATATTATACACAATAATAGTGTCACATCAAACCACACGAAACATGTATTCTACAATAGTGTACCTAGTTACATGTGTCTATTTAAAGATTTAGACGTCCTGTTGAACCCATTCGCGCATATTAAAGAAAAAAAAAGATACCGTGTTTTGACGTTTGTTCAACCTTATTTTAACAAATAGATCAATTATAATTTTAAGATACTGTGATGTAATAAATTGACACGAATTAAATATATTCAATCGGCAAACCTCGGCAGATTCCGCTACATCTAACTTGATTTTGTTAGATCTACCGAGGGGTGCCGAATGAAATATGTTAAGTTTTATTACAAACGTAAAACGCCATATGACAAGGTTATCGTTTAAGTGCTCACTTATATTTACCTTTTGTTTAGACTTTTATGAAATAAAATGGATTACATTAATCAACAACAATAAATAACACGTTTTAAGAGTGGGCGTTACTTTTATGTCAACAAAGATATATTTCTGTGAGTATAAAAATAAGAAGATGTGGTATGATTGCCAATGAGATAACTCTCCACAAGAGACCAAATGACTCAGAAATTAACAACTATATAGGTCACCGTACGGCCTTCAACAATGAGCAAAGCCCATACCGCATAGTCAGCTATAAAAGACCCCGAAATGACAAATGTAAAACTATTCAAATGAGAAAACATCGGCCTGATTTATGTACAAAATAATGAACGAAAAACAAATATGATATACAGCAACAAACGACAACCACTGAATTACAGGCTCATAACTTGGGACAGGCACATACATAATGTGGCGGGGTTAAACATGTTAGCGTGCGCCCAACGTGAAGTTTACATTATTTTAATGATCAGGTACTGAAAATACAAAGAAACAATAAAATCGTATTTCTTAGATAAACAAATCGTGTTTAATTGAGAAAAAAGTTAATTTAAAACGAGACAAATTTAACACTCTTGTATTCTTATTAAAAAGTATATAAAATCTACATATTTCTTTATCATAAGAAGTTGCTGAATGACATATCATTCAAAAAACAGCCTATTTGATCGAGAGAAACATTTCGTAAGATAAAAAAATATCTGTTTTAGTGTTTGATTTAACTTATGTATGTCTGTTTAGAGTGACTTCTAAAAATTGAAAATATATTTAAATAAAAAATGATCATTTACGGATGGGAAATAAAAAAACCTAAAATTATAGGCAACAGTAGTTTTCCGATTGCGAAATCTCGAAACTGCATTAAGGGAGCAACCATTTAACTTCAATAGGGTGGGGGTTATGGCTTTTTGTCTCAGTAAGATTTTTTTTTCGCGCAAAGCCGCGAACTTTTTTTTATTTTTCGACGCTATCAATCAAATTATATTTTTCAAAATTTAACACTATAATGTATGGGGAGAATCTGGATTCAGAATATTTTCTTTGTCATCTGCTTGACCACAATATTTTTTTTCCATCAAATTTGGGATTACATTGGATGAACGCATATGACCCAGAGGAGTCAACAGATTATGCTTTACTTGTACTTCCCGTCATGTTATTCCTGTGAAAAATCCACGTTGATTAATCCTAATGGTTGATATGATATCCTATAATGCCGAAATTTACCGAAGGAACTTATTTTAAATATTTAAATATAAACAGCAATGAATGTCTTTTCTTAGTTTTAGATATTTTAGTTTTACACGGAACACTCTACACAAAAATTTACGACAAAGGGGAGGGTGTTTCGTTCCCTATTGTTAATTTTCCTTTTTTTACAACTCGTTCGCTATTCCTGTGTCTGTAGTGATGTTTTAGATTTCAAAGAACGTTATCTATGTATTACTGGAAAATTATAAAGTCAAGAATTTCACTACTACAAATTACTTTAAACCTTTAATAAATTCTTTCATACATTCAAATATTTGGTTTTGAAGTTTGACTGCAGGGGGCGGATCAAGCCATTTTTTAAAAAAGGGGGTTCCAACCATATGTCCCCATTCGAAAGCATTGATCGTCTAAAAAAAAAGAGGGTTCCCCCCGGACCCCCAGGACCCCCCCCCCCCCCCCAAACACCCACCCCTCCCCCGACCCGGATCCGCCACTGGATTGTACCTTATTACAAACAGGATAGTACAACATAATTTTTAAGGTGATATTGTTTACCGAGTCCACACATTTAGATGCAGTCTGGGTAAACTTATCGATTCTTTAAATAAACTTAGTCTAAAGGGTTACCAATTCAACACTGGAATTATATCTTTATAAATATTGATTTTGTTATCAATATATCAAAATCTAACTAAATATTCTTGTTAAACACATATGTACATTCACGGTCCTACAACCTGTTGATATCTATATTTTGGCATCCTATATTTTGGCATTGCACAAAGTCATGTTTTTCATGTTTTTGATTATGTGCTGATTGACATTTTAGTCTTAGATTCATGATGTTTGTCTCGCCTTCAAAAAAAGTCGCAGAAAACGACGACAGTGGAGGAGGATGTGTCAACAATTGTTAAGTTTTCTACTTGAGTCAATTTGATAGGAACTACTTGTGATAGATAAATGATATTTTGTATAAAGTTGCATTGCTATAATGATTAGTACATATTAATTTGACGGCTATTTCGAGGCCTTGTCCCCTAGGTGAAGGTCCAACGACTTTCAATTAATACGCAATTGTCAATGTTAAGTTTTCTGCTTAAGTTAGTTTGATAGGAACTACTTGTGCAATATTATATGAATGATGTTTTCTATAAAGTTGTATTACTATCAGTACATATTAGTTTGACGTCTATTTCGAGGCCTTGTTCCCTAGGTGAAGGTCATGCGACTTTCAATTAATTAGCAATTTTCAATGTTAAGTTTTCTACTTAAGTTAGTTCGATAGGAACTATATGTGCTAGATTAAATAAATGATGTTTTCTATAAATTGCATTACTATCAGTACATATTAGTTTGACGGCTATTTCGAGGCCATGTTCCCTAGGTCAAGGTCATTCAAGATTCCTTTCAGTGTAAATAACGTTTTATTCATATTGTCAGTTGAGAATATTGTAGATTGTTTGATTTGTATGTAGTAGTATTAATTTGTAATTTACAAAGAACTTTTTGTCCCCCGCGCACGCGCACGCGGTCTTGTTAGTGCTCTTACAGGTACAATTCTTGCCAGATTTTTATTACACTTATACTATAGGTTATTATCAGCAATATCAATTATTTTTAAAAGAGTTATGGTCCTTGGAAATATTAATTATATGGAAAATTGCATTGTTAGCGCTCTCACGTGTACAATGCTTGCCAGATTTTTATGAAACTTATATCATAGGTTTACATATATATCAGCGATATCTTGGACAAGTTCACAAATCAGTGCGTATCTTTTATTTTTAAAAGAGTTATGCCCCTTGGAAACATTAATTTTATTGGAAATTGCATTGCATTTGCTCTCAAGCCTTCATTTTCCCAAGAAATTAGAAAATAAAAATTTAAAGTTATTGCCCTTGGACAGATAAAATATGTGCAACGCGGGTGATTCTTTTATATTATGAAATTTACTTTATAAAAAAAGGAGATGTGGTATGATTGCGAATAAAACAAATTTCCATTTACATTTTCTTTAGAAGGTATAAAAAATAGCCTTTCTGTAGTTTGTTATACTAATACCTGGTACATTATCTTGTTTAAAACCTTAATCAAAACATGACAAAAAGCAACGACTTTCCTCTTTTTTTTTTGGCAAATAAAGTTTGATGTTCAAATAGGACAAATAATTAACACTGGTTTGTCTGTTTCTCAACTCTTGACAGACATATTTTCTCGGCCTTGAATCTTAAGACTATTGAGTATCCTGACATTTTGACATAATCTGTATTCGCAAGAGGGTGAGTGATACGTGCATACATACCAGCAGACTCTTATCTTGTCAAGGCATCCAATCTGACTTCTTTTGAATTTGGTGGGATTCCCTTGGAGTTTTTTTTAATTTGTTTTGTGTTGTATTTTCTATATCGATGTATGAAATTTACACATCAGTAAACTATTGTTTCCTCTTATAAATTTGAATAAAACGAGTTGTCGAATTTATGTCAATAAGGTTTCAAACAACAGGAATAAATAAAAAAAGAGGTTTTTTGGGAGGTTAACCAAATCTTCAATTATGGCCAAGCAGGATCACTGTATACATGTCAAGATACAGTTCAGTGGTCACATGACCGCATCGAATGCAAAAATTCGTGGGTTTTATACTAAACACGGTTGAACCGAACATTGGTATTTCCTGTTTGTTTGGGCATTAAAGCGGCATTTAGGAGATTGATAAGACTGGTTGCCTCGGAATCGGAATTATTTTTCCTAGAATAGTGGCATGTCTTCCTTTAGACAATTGTTTTGTTTTAGTGCCAAAATATTAAATATTACTCTGCGTATCGATAGAGTACGAGACAGAATAGATCAGCAATTCATTCTTAATCATATCGTTCTTTATTTGCAAGTTATTGTCCACCATGGAAATTATATAACTTGTGAATTCATCATTTAATAAATAAGCAGAAAAAACAAGTATTTAATTTCAACATCAACTATTCCATAAACAAAAATGAAAATAAGAACACAAAAAAAAACACACACAAAAATTAATGAACCATGCACATGACCATGCAGATGACTAACAAACTTTGAAAGTACCAAACTTTCCCCTTATCATCCAGATCTGTACAGGAACAAATAAAAAATTAAAACAAGAACAAAACAAATAATCAATTTATATAAGATATCTTTGTCCAAGATTACACCGAATTATTGAGAGCGGTCCATATAGCAAACGTTGATCAAGTATATTACGACCAACCAGTTTGTGCTTGACTCGAACTAGTAATAAATCAATTATTAAGCAAATGAAACATATATCAATCATTGACCTTTTTCTCCACAAATACTTAATTTTTATTCACCACCATGAAAGCTGGATTCCCTTTTACGACCTATTACAATTTGAAGACACAAACCTGCCGTTTGTTTGCTTGTTCAATCGTTTTTAGTTTGTTTTTTTTTTAGGAAGGTTTGGTTTGGGATTTTTTAGTTTTCCCCTTTTTGGTAAGATTTTTATGTTATCTTTTCATTGTCTTATCATTTTTCGTGCAAGGATAAGTATATGCAATGTTTTACTGTTTGTAGTGTTTCTGATCAAAGAACAACATGTCTTTGTTTCATAAGTTGTTTGAGTTTGGTTCTCGTTTTAAGTTTTTGATAAGGGGAAGATTTCGGGGGAGGTTACTGTTTTGTTCTTGTTTTCTGGAGAGAAATACTGATGTTTTTTTTTTATATCAAACATTCAATTTGAATTTAAATTTTCTTGCCGCTAATTTAGGTTCGTTTTACGGTATAACTTCATGTACGTGTTTATTTCGTTTCTTCATGTGCGTGTTTGTGGATGCATGTATTTGTACGTGTATATATGGGGGTATATGTATTAATGTGTGCATGAGTTTTTTAAGTTGATGATTCTGCATAAAAAAACGAAGATATTAAGAGATAATCAAGCATCGAGTATAAAAAAAGGACAAATTTTTTGAATTATTATTAATTTTATTATAAAATAAAAAGAAAATGTCAGAATAATAAACTATCACAGTAATTTGGAAAAAAAATTGCACGCTAATAAATAAAGGATTTCAAGGAATGTAATAAAAATTTTACATCTTTCTATAATTATTTCCGAGTTTCTTTCTTATACAAACATTTCTACCACGACGTATTGCACAAACACGTCTGCTCGGACAATCACGATTGCATTTGCTTTTATAATTGCCTGGTGTCGGCATTTCTTTAACCGGAAGTATATTTTCACGAGGCATGCAACTTCTTTTACAGCCGTTTTGAACACATCTTCCTTGTGGCCAACAATCAAAGTCCCTGTTACAGTTGCTAACGCAATCATCTGTGTTTTGATTTAAGTCAGCAAACGGACGAACAGGAATATGATCGATTGATGTGATCCTATCGGTGTTTGAGTGCTGATCTATCGGCTCTAGATTACGTATGAGTTGAATTTGTCCGTTTGAATCGACTAGTACGTTCGATTGACCAGTAAGTATGGTTTTCTTAAGTGACATTTCATCACCGTTAGTAATTTCCTGATTTTGATCAAAAGAACCTTCAGAGAACAGTGGAAGAATGGGTTTCTGCAATTTTCCAATATCTGGAATCTTATGTCCATTTTGATTATGAGCAAAAGGTCCACTAGTAATCAATGGAAGAATGGGCTTCTGCAATTTTCCAATAGCTGGAATCTTCTGTACATTTGGATTGTTTGGTATATACATGTCTGATTCTACTGGTGAATTATGGTCAAATTGATTAACCTGACGGTTTGTAACAAGTCGATCTCCTTCCACTAGCTGATTAACTGTACCAGTATTCTGATTTAGCATAATATGATCATTAGTCATAATACGATCGGAATGTGAGATAGGGTTATGACCAGATAAATCTTTTGGAACATAAGAATCAATTGGTTTTACATGAGATAGTTGTTTTACTTGTTGGTTTCTAATAGATTTTCCAACAGATGTAAGCATGGTTGCAATTGTACCAGAATTAGGATCGATAAGTATTGTTTGGTCCTTGTGCAGAACAGGATTAGATGTTAAGATTTCTTTATGCCCAGATAAATCATTCGGAGCGTAGTTGTCAATTGGCTGTACCGGTGAAAAATTATCGATTGGTTGTAAGTGTCTGTTATGTTCAAGTCCTATACCTTGTCCGTTAGATGTTCTAACTTGTGTTAGTCTATTCACTACCTCTGTATGTTCTGGTAAATCGTTTTGATTTGTTGATTCAAAAGGTTTAAAGACAGGTTTTACCCCATTTTGCTCTTTCAGTTTGCCTTGAACATATGTATCGGTCGATTTAACAGGAGCAACTACTTCTTTGTGTCCCGGTAAATTATTTTGAACGTATGCATCGATCGGTTTCAGTGGAGATGGTTGGTCAACTGGTGATTTAAACATGCTTGTAAGTGTACCAGAATTAGGATCGATAAGTATAGTCTGGTCTCCGTGTATACCTGAATTAGATGTTAAGACTTCATTTTCTCCTGCATGTAGGATTTCAGAGTTAGGTCCTCGTACAAATGGAACGATGGAGCCTTTTGGTAGCAAAGGAGGTAATTCATTATTTTGAAGCTCATTAAGACATAAGTTCTTACAACGAAGAATACAGTCAGTTCCTTGTAGACATAATATTCGCGCTAAACAATTGTCAATACAAATTTGAAGTACACCAACATTCTTGGAAGTTGACAACGTACCGACGGTACCATCAGATCCTACATTAGAATTTACAGATAAATCTTTGGGAATGTAGTCGTCAATTGGCTGTACCGGTGAAAAATTATCGATTGGTTGTAAGTGTCTGTTATGTTCAAGTCCTATACCTTGTCCGTTAGATGTTCTAACTTGTGTTAGTCTATTCACTACCTCTGTATGTTCTGGTAAGTCGTTTTGATTTGTTGATTCAAAAGGTTTAAAGACAGGTTTTACCCCATATTGCTTTTTCAGGTTGCCTTGAACATATGTATCGGTTGATTTAACAGGAGCAACTACTTCTTTGTGTCCCGGTAAATTATTTTGAACGTATGCATCGATCAGTTTCAGTGGAGATGGTTGGTCAACTGGTGATTTAAACATGCTTGTAAGTGTACCAGAATTAGGATCGATAAGTATAGTCTGGTCTCCGTGTATACCTGAATTAGATGTTAAGACTTCATTTTCTCCTGCATGTAGGATTTCAGAGTTAGGTCCTCGTACAAATGGAACGATGGAGCCTTTTGGTAGCAAAGGAGGTAACTCATTATTTTGAAGCTCATTAAGACATAAGTTCTTACAACGAAGAATACAGTCAGTTCCTTGTAGACATAATATTCGCGCTAAACAATTGTCAATACAAATTTGAAGTACACCAACATTCTTGGAAGTTGACAACGTACCGACGGTACCATCAGATCCTACATTAGAATTTACAGATAAATCTTTGGGAATGTAGTCGTCAATTGGCTGTACCGGTGAAAAATTATCGATTGGTTGTAAGTGTCTGTTATGTTCAAGTCCTATACCTTGTCCGTTAGATGTTCTAACTTGTGTTAGTCTATTCACTACCTCTGTATGTTCTGGTAAGTCGTTTTGATTTGTTGATTCAAAAGGTTTAAAGACAGGTTTTACCCCATATTGCTTTTTCAGGTTGCCTTGAACATATGTATCGGTTGATTTAACAGGAGCGACTACTTCTTTGTGTCCCGGTAAATTATTTTGAACGTATGCATCGATCGGTTTCAGTGGAGATGGTTGGTCAACTGGTGATTTAAATATGCTTGTAAGTGTACCAGAATTAGGATCGATAAGTATAGTCTGGTCTCCGTGTATGCCTTTTGGTAGCGAAGGAGTAAATTCATTATTTAGGAGCTCATTAAGACATAAGTTCTTACAACGAAGAATACAGTCAGTTCCTTGTTGACATGTTATTCGCGCTAAACAATTGTCAATACAGATTTGAAGTACACCAATATTCTTGGAAGTTGACAACGTACCGACTGTACCATCAGATCCTACATTAGAATTTACAGATAAATCTTTGGGAATGTAGTCGTCAATTGGCTGTACCGGTGAAAAGTTATCTATTTGTTGTATTTGACTTTTGTGTATAAGATCTCCACCACGTCCACCAACTACTTCTTTTTGTACGTAGGTATCGATTGGTTTCCCTGGAAGTACGATTTCTCTTCTGATTGTCTGAATACCAGTTTCTTTATTTACGGATACCATATCTGTATTAAGTTCACCAACAATTTCCCTTCCTGTTCCAACTTGCATAATTTGATTCATTTGATCTTGTGGACGAAAAACATCTTGAACTTCAGGAAGAGAAGGTCTAACATTAATGAGTGGCAATTCGTTGAGGCATAATTTCTGACAACCGAGACGACAATCATTTTGTAAGCATCGAGAAGTTTCCACACAATTGTCAATACAAATTTTAAGTAGACCTGCATTGTTTTGATCTGAGAGATTATCCATATCATTTACAAACCCTCCGTTAGAGGTTTCGAATTTTGTAATTGTACCAAAGTTTGGATCAATAAGTACAGTGTGGTCACCTTTCAGACTAGGATTGGGTTGTGGGACTTCCTTCTTACCAGTAGAATCTTTTGGATCATAGATATTGGTTTGTTTTTCTAGAGATACTGGATCAATTGGTTGCACTTGGCCATTTCTGTCTACGAAGCCTCCGCCACGTTTATCCGATGTTATAACGTTTGTAAATCTGTTCATTACTACTTTATGATCTTGTGATTCATTCGGAACATAATTGTCAATGGACTTGACGAAAGGGACTTCTTCTTTATGTCCTGTTGAATCGTTTGGAACATATGTATCGACGGATTGAACAGGGGCCACTACTTGTTTGTTTCCTGATGAGTCGGTTAGTGAATAATCGTTGATTAATTTGATGGGATGCTCTTCTTTTTTATGCCTTAGTGAATCACTCGAAACGTATGAATCTATCGGTTTGCCTGAAGATACCATTTCGTTTTGTCCCGGATTTATTCCACCTTGTTGATTAACCGATAAAAATTCTGTTTTCGTATTACCAGGAATCTCAATTTTTGTACCTGCTTGGAGGATTTCGCCGTTTGGCCCTAGTTCAAGTGGAACAATTGAACCTTTTGGTAATGAAGGATTTAAGTTTATATTTGACAGCTCATGAAGGCATGATGTCTTACAACGAAGACTACAGTCCGTTCCTTGTAGACATGTAGTTCGCATCAAACAATTGTTTATACAAATTTGAAGTAAATCAACATTCTTCGAACCTGTCAGAGTATTGATCGTATCATCAGATCCTACATTAGAATTTACGATCTTGGTTAATGTACTAGAGTTTGGATCAATTAACCAAGGCTTATTACCATTCTGAACAATGTCAGAATGGCCGAGAGGTGATATAGGATGAGGTAAGTCTAATGAAGAGACTGGTGTTGTTTTATCATTGTTTACATACACATCTCCTCGCAAAGGTAGTTTGTCTACAGTATCGATATGTGGCACTGAATCAATAACTTGTGGTACTTGTAGAAACTTTTTAACACAGATATACCTTCTACATGCATCAGTTGTTCGTTCACATACGGAACCCTGGTCGCAATGTTCATCCCTGATACATTCGCTGCCACAACGTCTGTTTCTTTTCGTTAAGTAAGACCCTGGAAGAAAACCAAAACCATATATTTCCATGTTAGTACACACATACTGTTCGAGTATGATATAAAAGCTTACAACAAAATCGAAAAATTATCAAAATCAATTAAGCAAAACGTCTGGTGAACTGCAAATTTGTGTAAGTTATCATGTTTTATTTATGTTAGCTAGGCAAACAAAAACCGTATAATTTTACCATTTACTGGTTGGTTATTGGAAAATCAACTTAATGATAAAGTTATCATTTACGTACCTGAAGAGAATGTTATTGCTCCAATCAAAATTACTACATGTAGTTTGTTCATGTTTGTATTCTGTAAAAAAAAAAAATATGTAAAAATAATTTAAAAAAATCAGTAAAGATACTTGGTTTATATTTAGTACGCCAGATGAGAGTTTCATCTACATTAGATTCATCAGTGGCGATCGAATCAAAACAGTTGAGATAATACATCAGATACGAAGTTGAAGAGCTCTGAAATCCAAACATTATGAAAAAATTGTACAAAATTCAGCTGTAGCCTTAGTGTTTTGAAAAATGTCACCATATATAGACAGTAAATGTATAAAAATGGACGGGTTTAATGATATATTTATGTCAAAAATAGTCATTTCCTTTGCATTTTGTATGATATGTATCACTTGTTCATAAGGCATATATAAATTATTTTTAAATGTAAATCACAGTAACATACAAAGATAAGCTTATAATTGTCAATTCGTTTTCGCCTTATTAGTTTGACTATCCATTTAGTATCTTCCGCTTCTCTCTATTATTCATTAAACCAATATTATCATTCAACTTATCCAAAGCATTCCTGATTTTATATTTATATAACAATAGCTTATAGCACTTTTCCCTCAATGAAAATTAATGCAAGTTTTTTTTATTGCTTATTTTTTTTTTAAGACTTTTATTTATTTATGTTTTCATTTATTCTTATACTGACTATTTATTTTATCATAAATATCATTTTTTGTATTGTTTTTTCAATCTTACCTTATATTTTCTTTAGTAGTAATATAATGCTTTGCCATCCCTTCTCAGTTAATATATATACCTACGGTGAATATCCGTTGTAGCAAGTCATTTGTCAAAGTTTGACATGTACAGGGAAACAGAATGTTAAAGGTAAGTTTTACCTCATAGCAGATGACGTAAATGTATTATGTATTTTAATTTCACCTCTTTGTGATCAATGTCTTTCAGCTGACCATTGTCTATCAGATCACGATTTGTTGTTTTTAAGCATTTCACTTTTTTCCTGTCTATGTGTGACACACCCATCTGATCATGTCATAAAAAAATGAAAACAGTACTCAGTGATTAGCAGTTTAATTCAATTTACAAAATATTTAAAATTGGACAGCCTTGCTTTATCCTAAAGCATCCTCAAAAATAATTTTGATTGTTAAGTCATATTTGAAAACCGATGTTACAAATGCCCATTTAAACAAATGCAAACTTATATATAATCTATAATCTCCAATGTCACAGACTTTTAAATCAGTTGATATTGGAAAAGATGAAATGTAGAATTTATCCTTTTTAAAAGTTTTTCTTTTCAAATAAAGGGCTTGATGCCATCAATATACTTCATCATACATCAGTTAAATACACAGTACTCCTCCATTTTAAAATGTTCTGTTCAATATAATCAAAATAGTTTGCAGGATTTATACATTACTTTATAATTCGGCTGGATACGTTATAACTGGGGATCTTTACATTGCTTATAACACTATCTTAAAACGCGGAATCCAAAAGGCTGAAATATCGTGAGGCTAAATCCATCGATTGGAAACACAGCTTCAAAATTTTAATAAATTCGGTAAAAGATTATGTTAGAAAAGAGGCAAACTGTGACAAAAAAGACGTAGATGCTCTTTCCGAAATTGTTCGGGCTGTAAAATGGACCCAAATGTTGCTGATACTGTTCTACTTCCTTGAGAAATATGTTGTTGTTCCAGCAAACAAATTCCAAATCCTGCTTTTAATTATGAATTCAATTATGTAAACTGCTTGATAAAGGAATAAGGTATAGACAATTCACTTAAAAACATATGAAACTACTTTATAGGAAACCTGGAACAATTAATAGATTTAAACATATATTAGTCTGTATTCCTATACAATTATGAACACTTATAGCCCTACAGCATGTCGATACTAATATTTTTTACATTGCACAATGTCATGTTTTTTTCTCAGATTTTTTCTCATATCTTTACACTTGATCCATTTAGTGTGCAAAGATTAATATTTGAGTCTGGGAAACATGATTTATTGAAGGGGGGCTGTGTTTCAGTCTGATGAGTCAAGCCTAACATGATTTATTGAAGGGGGGCTGTGTTTCAGTCTGATGAGTCAAGCCTTTTCAACTTTTTTTCCTCATGTTCTTATGTTGTGCTATTACACCACTGTCCAAGTTTATGGGAAAGTTGAGCACATTTTTTATTAGTTGTAATTGGCTTTGGACTAGCTTAAAGTAACTTTGAGGACTCGAATATCGGTTCTTTGTTTCATTTGTCTTTATGTAAGTTAGTGTGTGTGACGATCTGATGAGTCAAGCCTTTTCCTTTTATGATTTAAAGTTTATTATAATGGTTTGATGGTACACTACTGTCTAGAGTGCTTGCAGAAATGTTAAACGGCACCACATAACGTATACAAAAACGAAAACGTTATCAAACATTATGTATGTGCTTTTATATATTAAATATCTGAGTCCGTTCTATTGTACCACTGAGCCTCACGGGATAACAAATAACATATATTTTACTTGTTATTGCATTGTGGTTTCGAGATTGGTTCCGTAAAGATATTAGCTTAGTATTTTCAATAACTGCACCAATACTTTTTTCTTTTAAAGAGAGTTATACTAGTTTTATATTGTTTTTTGCACTTCAATGACAGCTTATAGCATATGACAAGTGTATTTCTCAGCAGTTTAAATTGTTAAATGCTACTATTCTAACACCCATAAAACCCTCGATTGACCAGATTAGGCTTTACACTTATTAACACTGTCCTTTTATAGGAAAAATTAAAATCACAAAAATACTGAACTCCGAGGAAAATTCAAAAAGGAAAGTCCCTAATCAAATGGTAAAATCAAAAGCTCAAACACATCAAACGAATGGATAACAACTGTCATATTCCTGACTTGGTGCAGGCATTTTCTCATATAGAAAATGGTGGATTAAACCTGGTTTTAAAGCTAGCTAAACCTTTCACTTGTATGACAGTCGCATCAAATTCCATTATATTGACAACGATGTGTGAACAAAACAAACACAATAGGAAAAAATGTCACAAATAGGGGTACAACAGCAATACGAACCCAACCAAAAACCGGGGGTGATCTCAGGTGCTCCGGAAGGACAAACAGATCCTGACCCACACGTGGCACCCGTCGTGTTGCTCATGTTATTACAAAGTCGGTAAATAGTCTAATTCGGTAGGTCACATTCGTGAAAAGGGAACGGGATTGTAGTTACGACATAAGGAACATATCCGATATCATCTGTGAAACGCATATTCCATAACGGTCAACCAATTCGTGATGGCGTCCGTAAGATTTACGAAGTGATGATTTCAACTTCACCATTTGGAACTAAAAATGGAAAGGTCACAATTAAGAACTGAAATCATCTCGTTTTGTTTTCAACCGACCCTCATTGTCCATTTCTAAATGTAAGTCAAGATATGAGGCAGACTTAAGTGTAAAACGGTAAAAAAAAAGTTCCTAATCAAATGGCAAAATCAAAATCTCAAACACATCAAACGAATGGATAACAACTGTCATATTCCTGACTTGGTACAGACATTGTGCTAAGGAGTTGCTAAAGTCGGTTAAGCGTTCTCTTGGAAAAGAGAGGCGAAAGATACCAGAGGGACATTCAAACTCATAAGTCGAAAATAAACTGACAACGCCATGACTAAAAAAGAAAAAGACCAACTGACAAACAATAGTACACAAAACACAACATAGAAAACTAAAGACTGATCAACACGAAAATTAGTATAATATTTTTAAATAGATACACATAGACTGTTGTTTATTTTTATGATTATTTACTAGCTAATATAAAAATAAGAAAATATAAAATGATTGCCAATGAGACAACTCTCCACAAGAGACCAAATGACTCAGAAATTAACAAATATAGGTCACCATACGGCCTTCAACAATGATTAAAACCTATACCGCTCAGTCAGCTATAAAAGGCCTCGGAATGACAAAATTTAATGTGAAACAATTCAAACAAAAAAACTAACGGCCTGATTTATGTACAAATTAATGAACGAAAAACAAATATGATATACAGCAACAAACGACAACCACTGAATTACAGGCAGTATATATAGGTATTTTAACGTTAATAATTTATTAAAACCGAGTTTTGTAGTCTAATATTGAGAAAATTGCGACAGATGTACAGAACTACTATTTCTCTTGACATCTGAATTCATTGGGGGAAAGCTATTAAGTTTATACATTAATACATGATTGTATGATGTAACAATTGTTATCTGTTGTATTTGTTATTGTCCTGTTAAATATATCTAATCATTCAACCGATATGTCCAAAGGTAACATTCCTTTATTTTGAAAATATTTTTCCGTGGTTTATGAGATATATTTTACATAATTAAGAACGTCACGACATCATTGGACCATTTATTTCCTTATGTTTGTGTGAAATAATCTACTATAAATAGAGACAACGTATAAAGATTCTTGGTTTATTTAAAAAAATATTGAATCCCGCAAAACACGTTCATCACCTTATGAATAACTGTCGGACACGGAATTAAAGTACGAATAAGACTATCTATCATACAGGTAAATAATAGGGGTGCTCTGAAAACATTATTAACGCCAACTAATATATTACCATGCTCAATGACTGTATTGGAAAGGCATCTTCAATAAGGATATGACTATCTTAATTGAATGAAGGTCTCAGTATTTTTTTTAACTCAATGGTTAGATATTATCTCAGTTGCGTTAACGCACGCAATTTGTTTTCGGAATGTCGAAAAATTCTTATGTTGAAAACCTACAATAGATATAAGAATATGTGGTATGAGTGCCAATGAGACAACTCTCCATCCAAGTCACAATTTGTAAAAGTAAACCATTATAGGTCAAAGTACGGCCTTCAACACGGAGCCTTGGCTCACACCGAACAGCAAGCGATAAAGGGCCCCAAAAAATGACTAGACAGTGTAAAACCATTCAAACAGGAAAACCAAAAAACGAACCATATTTTGTGTGTTCCTCTCATTAAATAATTTTTTCATCGTTCAAATTTTCAACTATAAAAAAATGTTCCACTGTTCAATGGTTGAAATTGATTTCTGTTTAATCTAGTATATAGATGTTGGAAGGATATTGAAGTTCAAGCCATTTTATTGTGATTTGTTTTGTTTTGTTTGTTTGTTTGATTCAATTTTTGGTGGTGGATTTCTTTCTTTTTGTTTTTTGAATCTATCATGAAGAGTGGAACACATATTTACATTTAAATGATTATCAACTATATCACGCAGCAAACGATATGAAAGAAGATAATGCTTTGTCTTAAAATAGTAATTTTTCCGAATTCTAGAATTTCATTTCATCTCCCCCACGACGCGTTCTTTTCATAGACAATTCAACATTTCCCTATCTTAATCATATCGGACAAAGAGAGGTTTTACAAAATTAATGAAGTTTGAAGATATTAGCAGTCTATTGTTTTTACTCAACACTTCTGTTATCAAATAAAATTGCAGGTGACGGTAACAAATACTGAATGACCAGAAAAAAAACCAATAAATATCAAATTTATTAGTTTTTCATTTTTAATGAAAGGTTTGACATGGGCTTCCCATATTAGAATCCGTTTATATAAATATGATCCTCGAAGAAGCCGATATAGACATAAATATAAATATAAATACCCATACAGACACGTGCAATCGTATACTACCGATTTGTTTGGAACTGCTTAATTTCATATCATAGATATGTAAATCATCGTATTTACCTGTATTAATTTTTTTCTATCTTATTAGTCAAGGAATTGGTTCTTTTCGCTGGCTCCTTTGTTTCACTTTTCAATTAATTTCTTTTTCTTTTATAACTTAGCAAATTATAGCGAAATATTATTTAAAAATTCCATTTTTATAATTGTTTTTGTCTAAATAGTAGATAATGACCTATAACAAAACTAGTAATACGGTAAATATATGTTGTTAAAATTAGAGAGTTCAGCCACAAGTTCTGTTAATTTTCAGAA